TGTGAACAAAATATTGAATATGATAGTAAAAAGATCCGAAGTACTCCGTATAAGTACAGAGATGTTCCAGAATAGTGAAATAAAGCGTGTGATAAAGGATGAAATAAAGGGTGCTCATACAAGGTGTGTCATACAGGGTGTGTGCCTGAGTTCATATCAGGGATGCGAAAAACCGTATTTTATACCAAATATATAATAATAAAATATATATGTATTTTCATATTTTTAATACAAAAATTAAACTGTTAATCATTTACTGTCGATAAACAACAGGTCCTTTTTTTTAGAACAGCGAATTTTACAAATCTCATAAAAACGTATGTTACACAGTTCGTGTTTAATATTCTTTAAGTGAAATATATTTTTGAACAAAAAAGTGATGCATATGTCTGATTTAATATATATTTTATGCAGCCAACATTCAATTGAGGAATTAATAAAATTTAAAAGCGTATCGCTTTTGTTCGATTTTCATTTGCCTCTACGTTTTCAAAATCTTATCGATTATCATCTCCATCATTCGGACACATGATCATATCGAAGCGGTTTGATGATCGAGCTCGAGACTCAAATCCATTGTTTACTTCATTTCCCGGTCGACAATTCAAGGTTCCATCAATGTTTTACTGTCTGTTTAGATGTAAAGGTATTTACAGGTCATTAACAATCTATCATGTCACGTCTATGTGAATTTCTTTTTTTTTTTTTTGCTGTATTAAGCTTTAAGTGTTCTGGGTGCATTACACCATTAGTACTATACACATTATTTTTAATTATAACATGCGGTCTCCTTTCAAAAGCTTTGTCGTATATATTTTCTTGAGCATCCATATATATCCCTTTCTCTTGTATGTTATCTTCATCTTTGAAATGTTCCAATGGAATAGACTCATAAACATCATCTACGATAGGTGTTGATTTTCGGAATGTATGTGCGCTGTTAGACTTGTTGTCTTGCGTATCTCTGGACTTTTTAACAGATCTATTTAAAAAAGAGAGAATTCATTAAGTGTTTTTACTTTGAAGATTTCATAGAATATCCGATTATTTTAAATTGCCTCTTATATACCAAATTAGGTTTAGAAATTTGGTTCAACAATTTCTCTGATTAAGTTAACTTGAATTAATACTATTAAAATTAAAAAAAAAAAAACCATAATGATCGTTACCTGTCTCTACGATGTTTGAAGATGTAAATACCGACCGCCACCAACGTTATTTCAATTACAGCAATCCCAGTTTCTATGATAGCTGTAATATTTTATTTAAAGATCAAATGCTTTAAAGTTTTGATTGAGTGAGCTAACTGTGTGTAAATCGTACAGAATGTGGGCTATTTATGAAGCCAGCTAGCGCGTTTTAAAAATACACCCACATATATCATGTATATACCAATTGTATATGTTTAAAAACCACAGAGGAAAATTATCATTTAAATACCCCCTCCCTCTTTCATATCGTTAGATATTAATATAAATGAGTCGTTATAAGGTCATTGTATCATCATTTAGCTTCAAATTTCTTCATATCATGTTTGTTTAGTATAAAAGGACAAAGATATAAATATTTAAAAAAAAATATGAAAAAGACTAAATAGGACGATTAATCAATGTTAATAAAAAGATACAATACAATCCTATTATGGAAGTAGAATATTGAATTTAATCTGTATAAATAATATTAAAAAAAAAATAATGATGCATTTATTTTACGGACTGCACTTAATATCGTCACACTTCCTTAAGTCTTAAAAATAATAAACTTTGAAAAGGTTAAGTTTTATTATATTTTTTGTTAAAATTATGATCACCATTCACCTATCATTCACAAGTAATTGTACATTCATCATAGCACATTTAAATAATCTAAACATAGGCACAAAAGAAACTTAAACCTGAAAAAAGTGCAGCGCTAGCTCTAAGCTTTCAGAAATTGTATGTACCTGTTTTCTCTCCTGTATTTGTATTTTCGTCCGCTGTCGCCTGATTAGTTGCTGTTGTCGAATGATCCAAGTCCCTTGAGATTGGCCTGAATGACTTCCTTTCCGAGGTTGTTTCATTCATCATAGTCATTTTTCTTGTTGATAACGGCAGTGTTGTTGTTTTTTTGGAGGTCTTTGTTGTTGGTTCTGGATGTTTTGTTGTTTGTGTGTTCGTCTCTGTTGTTAGTGTGGTATACTTTGTTATTTGTTTGGTAGACTTTGTAATTTGTTTCGTAGTCTTTTTTGTTTGTGTGGTGGTCTTTGTTGTGTGTTTGGTAGCCTTTGTAGTTGCTTGTAGACTGACTAAAAAAAAATAAGGACAAAAGATTATTCTTTTTGCCTTAAATAAGGCAACGTATTACAGAAAAAAAATTCTTTAACTCTTTACCTTTCCATTTTAGACTAAACCCTTTCGCCGTGTCCCGTTCATCAGAAACAAAATTAATCCTTATCAATCTGCCCTTAACAATCTGAGGAAACGAACCAAATCGACCACATCTGCGCATGGGGTAAAAGCAGCACGGATCTATTACTGTTATCTGAAGATTAATGCAATATACATACACATTATATTGAATATGCAGTGATGATTTCAAAATGAATATTTTTATTAACGTACCCCTATTTCCATTACCATTCAGATACTTTTAAACAATTTTTTTCATCGTTTTAGAAATCAAATTAAAACGAGATAATAATATGCGAGTTTTCCGAATTATCATTTAGATTTAAATGCACAATCAAATCAATGAAAAATTACAACATAAAAACTAAAAAGGGATCCCTGATGGAAGCCTGTTTTAAAACAAATCAACTCACAGAAAATGTAAACCTTTATCTATCACACTGATATGATGTGACATTACAGCTATTGCAGATATTTTGAGATATTTTAAGAGTTATGAAATAGAAAATAAGTTGTTTGTTTCGTTATTGCAAACCAATGCTAATTTATACAAGCAGACCTTACCTCTAAGAAATCCTCATTGCAAGAGGAGTATTTATATTTGAAAATATCAAAAATATCGAATTGAAAGGTAACTTTTGCTTTCTCCTGTCCAGTATTCAGAATCCACGTGTAGTTGACGTTGTTTGGGTAGTTACCAGGGTAACCAGGAGATGCTAAACTTCCCCTGATACCAGATATGTTCTTTGATACGATCACTTCATTATATCCGCAACCTTCAATTTCAAAAGTAATGATTTAATTAACATATATTATTATTTACTGGTAAATCATTTCTTATATTTCTTAAACAAAAATGAAATAGTTAGGATATTAACTTACGTATTTGAAACACAAACATACACAAAAAGAGAAACCAGTAGTTCATTTTATATTTTAGTAAGTTTTAAATATCTTTATGTATATGGTGCATGCACATAATTAAATAATGATAAACCTTCATAAATACTTTAATACAAGGAAATTGCAACCGGAATATTAAATTTATTTCACAACAAAGCACTTGTTGATACTTAGACAATCTGACAACAAATTTACGGATTCATTCAGTTCAAACGGATGTGAATTAAAATATTTCTGTCTGATTCTTAATTATAGACTTTGATTTGTAAAATCATTTAAAGCATAGATGTTGGTTGGTACAATCATGATTTATTTTCAGTTTGATAACCTAATGACTTTGACCATACCTTGAAATTGATCTTTTCTCCGTTTTCGCGAATCAAAATACAACTTTGCCAGTATTTTAAAAAAGTTACCAAAACAGTCGATATTTAAAGAGAATAAATCTTAGTGTGATTTAAGGAATCACTGTCTAGTTTTGAGAGTATGCCAGGGCATCAACAATAGTGGGAAACATGGGATAATTTGCATAACGGGCAAAGCCCGTTATGCTAAAATTATCCCATGTTTCCCACTATTGTTAATGTCCCTGGCATACTCTCAAAACTAGACAGTGATTCCTTATATTTCCATTTCATTGTGAAATATAATTGTAGATTTAGACTTTAAAAAATGTAGACATAGACTATAATCACACGAGGACTTCCATGCCAATTTCAATAGTCCTCGCCCTCTGACGTCAAACACATAGGCAGCATATGCATATTTGGCATCCTTAGCGTCAGACACAGAGACAGATGCGCATGAGATTTGCATGCGTATTAGGCCTCCTTAGCTGCTGACCTATCGACCTGCCTAATTTACATTCCGGCAGAATTATCAAGAAATAAACTCCGAAAACTTTCAAAGAGTTATCACAGAGAAAAAAAAATAGAAATAGAAATATAAAAGTATCATCCTTCAATTTTTGTTGAAGGGGAGTGATATTTCATAACCTTACAAATTGAATATTTTTAACGCAACATCAGATTTTTTTGTCTTAACTTCTTTCCTACTTATAAGAAGAATGGAAAATTATTGAGGAATATCTAAGCTGTATTTTTGACAAAGGATTACAAGTGAAATGCACATGCGCATGGATAATATTTGAAAGAAATTGATATGACTTTGATCAAAATAATGATTCTTTGAACTTTTTAAAAATAAAAATGAAGTAAGAAAGGAAAACAAATTAATATGATTGAATGAAGCTAGGAAACGGGCTGTTCAAAGCTATATGAATTAGATTTCAAATGTATTTCGATTCTCAATTTCTCATTCGAAGACTTGGGTATTTTAAACTCCCTAGCGATTTGATCAGACGGATGAAATAAAACAATGGGCCAATTAATGGAATATAAAATGAAAGGCATAATTATTCACAGGTATGAAATATATAAAAATTCAAGCATAATACTTAGTTGATATTGCTTAGAAAATCATTATAAATATTCTGGAATTAGTGAAATTCTGAGTTTAAAAAAGAAATGATTGTGTAATCAATTTATTTGTCGGTAGCTTTGAATGGAGTAAAAAAAAAGAAACAGTATTTATTGCGTCATTTTTAAGGATCAAATAAGATTGCACTTATGACGCAATATGCAACGATAGTCAAATATATCCTGGTGAGCTTGAGATGAAAGATACCACAGAGTCCGACACTTCTGCTTCATATTTGGATATTTTACTTGAAAAAGACTCTAATGGTAATCTAACAACCAAGCTATATGATAAACGTGATGACTTTAACTTTTCTATCGTCAACTTCCCTTACTTATGCAGCAATATACCTTTATCACCTGCATACGGAGTATATATATCTCAATTGATTCGATACGCAAGAGCACATTCTACGTATGAACAAATTCTAAAGCTATGTAAATTATTGACAAAGAAGTTGATGAAACAAGAATATCAACAGTCTCGTTTAAAGTCATAATTTTGTAAGTTCTATGGTCGATACAATGACCTTGTCAGCAAATACAATTTATCATTGAGTCAAATGCTGACTGACGTTTTTCATACCACTTGTTAATCCGTTATTTATACACTGTTTTTCCGTTATTTCCTGATCATGACGACGAGCACACGGCGGGTGTGACCGGTCGGCAGGGAATGCTCACTCCTCCATGGCACCTGATCCGGAATATCCCGGGGGAAAAAAGCCACGATCATATATGGTATTAATGCATGAATTAGATGACGTCGACTTAAACAGGAAAGGGTTCTACCAAAGACTCCTCACTGGTCGTGACTTCTCTCTGCAAAACACTTTCTTGGAATTTAAGGTATTGTCCGCTTTCTTGAATTGGTGTTTCAATTGTATTTGTGTATATGTGCGGAGATTCTTGTTGTTGATGGCTGAAAAAGATATTGATGTTTTTAATTATTATTTCAAGAAACAACTCTACATGATAGGGCTTACATGTAAGTATTACAAGTCCTATAAAAAATGAAAGAATAAAACGTATTATACATTTAACTGAAATGTTTGTACTAACTTTGAACCTGTCTTGTATAAATAAAATATCCGTATTTCAATTTTAACGAGGCCCAATCTAGTTGGAAATTACGAAAAAGGATCTATATATATTTTTTTATTCTTGGAAATATATTTGTATACATTATGCTAAGAAAAATTTGAATGAAATTTTGTTACCTTGCCTTCATCGTAGTGAAATGGGGGCATGTTCAAGATACGTACCATTTTTCATGTTTTCATACACAACTATATACAAAAAGTCCCCAATTAACAAAGGAAATGACAAACTGGAAAAGAAGATAAATAATGAAATGTTTTGATTTTTTTTACATGTATTACAAATTGAAAAGAAAATTGAATGTAGCCTTTATTGCAGTTAAAAGTGGGCATATCAAAACACAAAAATAGCATTATTTTATCCAATAATATGTTTTATAAGTCGAAATGGGTTTACATCAAATCAACGACTGAATGTAAAACTGAAATAATTTTTAAAATTAGATAAGTCTTACATTATGACATAATTTTTTTTCTTTCCTTTAGTTTTTTTTCTTAACACACGACGTTGTTTTACTTTAAAAGGCGGATGAAAACGACAAAATAACGAATTTTACTTATATCATGTAATACATGTATAAAGATTTTAAAGATACATAGAAGTAATAGTTTTTAAACTCAAGCTTATCCATGCAGATTTAAGTCATCAATATAAAAAGAAGCTAGTACTGAGTAAACACTTGAACATTTTCAAGGAGAAATGCTAAAACCGCTTACTTTTGGTTGCATTTTGTTTAAATTCACAAATTGAAACCAAAATGAAATCAATAAATATCTACCTAGAAATTGATAACTAAAAATAAATTATGTTCCAGAAGATGCCAGAATGAGCGAGCTTTTCAAAAATGCACAGTCTATAGAGCTACCAGGTATGCGAGATTTCCAAAAACATTTTAGCGCAATTTGACGTCATTTCAATTGTGTACTGTGTACTGTGATTATGCCTGAAATGGCGCTGCATGAAACCGCATGCGCAGATCAAGTTGATCGCGCCTTGTTAAGTAAGAAAACATTTTTTTCTTTCTTTCATTGAAAACAGGCAATATCAGCTATAAATCTTGGTGATATTTCAGCAGACGTTCTTCTACTACTCACGTCGTTTTCTTTGATTTCAATCCAAGTAGAGCTATGGTACATATATGAACATTCCAATCAATATCAATTGAAGAATGAATACATACCCAACTGAAAGCAAGCGTTATTCTTGATAAGAATATCTCTTGAAAACCTGAATGATAAGAAAATGAACATAAGTGATGAAATGTCAAAGTAGGGGAGCAGTAGATAAAAATACAAGTATATTAGACTTAAGGTCATTTGCAACGCAGGGTTTTCAGAGAAAAAAGGTTTATACATAGGTTTTTTTCACTTATGAAAAAAGTCATTGAGAGTGATCTCCCGTATGGAATTCTCTAGGCGCTGAAAACAAATAAAGCATAAAGAATAGGTACATGAATACTGGGAAGTGCAAAGATGTAACATAATTATGCTGAAAGTGGTGATAGCTAGCTAGACCGGATGAGAACGATTCTATAGGTTATGTGAAGGAGGCACCATTAAAAGTTACCAATTAAACCTTGCAAAAATGTTTTATGACAGTTCGTTTCCAATAAAGTAAATTATAGAATAGAACAAACAATTAGTCTCTTGATCATTATGAATATTGATTAGATGTTAAGGGAAGTAGCTCAAAATTTAGACCAGTGCTGGTATTTTTGTGTTTTGTTTCAATATTTGCATTTTCAGCCAAAGTATATGCGTGTCATCGGAAATGATGATTCAACAATGTATTTTATGTATAAATGGGTTTTGGAGAACACTTAAGGTAAAAACTAATATAGACCCATTTTATCAACATTTTACATAGGAAATGCATTGAAAATTGTACAAACATTAATTTGACAAAATCTATAAAAGAAGGTTGACTTGATGGGTACAAAGGGTTTGAATTGAACATGTTTGGTAACATTAAACCTGTTCAAAAAATCTTGAAAAATTCTATACGAAAGCCAGAAACGTTGCCAATGTCCTTAAGAAAATGTTATGTTTTTTTTGCCATCTACGCGATCCTTGTCCTTGAATCCCATGGACTCCAGAACCTGCATTCATGGTACCTTAATACAAGTAGAAACGGGTTATAGCACACCCGCCTTTTCTCTTCAATTAAGACATGCCATTAACATGATTAACAACATTTTACAAACATGTCATTAAATATTAAGGCATTTAATGCCATAGATATTCGAAAAAATAAATGAAATTCTACTTACGAGTGTTTTGTTCACTAATTCAGTGTATGTGGGTTGATCTTGACCGACACAATTACTCCCTCCTTCGTGGATATGTGTTGACCAAATCGAGAGGCGTGTTATAATGCTTTTAAGTACAATAACACTTTACAGAATGAAATATTGCATATCTACTTTCATTTTTCAAGTACATAAACGTTTGCTTTTTAACGTTTTGCAATTTAAAACCTTTTTAAATCGAAAAAACACAAAGCTTCACCTTTTTCTCATGTTGAATATTTCTCTCGATTTTCACTTCTCGTATGTTGGTCTTATATCTAGTTCTCGCAAGGAAAGCTGGTCGGACTTTTACGGATTTTCTTCATATTTTATTATGTTAATCTCCGAATTGTTCCAATTTACGCTAATAAGGTAAGAAGTTATGTATGTGTGCTACGTGATCATTCAATACCTTGTCAGCTTGTAAAACAAGCAACATGCATACATTATATTAAACAGTTATATAAGACCTTTCCCTACTATGATGTTTTAGATGTCCGGTTTGCTCTGCTCTTGGTTTTATTTTGTGAATAAATCTTTGAGATTGAATACAATTCGTATTATCCTTATCAGCAAAAGATACGTTAAGATGTTGTAATCGATCGGAAAAAAGGATTTCAAACTCATTTTTACAGAACAAACAATCCATAAATATTTTGCGTTTACATTGTTTTAAATGCAAAGATTAGTTGCTGTATCATGCAGATAATTTTTTTAATAGTCAATCAAAGGTGTATTAAATGTAAACAACCCAGATTCCTTTTGAGAATATGGTTACCTTGTTTGGTGTCATATAAATTACAAAGTGGATTCTTTGCTGTATTTTTCATTGTTGATTTTCTTTGCATTCTTGTTGTTCGTGTGATGCTTTCTGTTGTTCCTATGGTGTCTTTTGTTGTTTTCCTGGAAGTCAATGTTGTTCGATAAGGGAGTTTCGTTGTTCTTGGTGTAGACTTTTGTGTTTTTGTGATGGATTTTGTTGCGTGTGTGGAAATCTTGATTACTTCCGGTCGACTGACTGATATAAAAATAGTTTGAAAATCTAAAATCACAAGGAAACTACTTTCAACCATATTTATTCAATAGTTCTTTTATTATACCTTACCTATCCATGCTAGACTAAACCCTTTTGCTGTGTACCATTCATCAGAGACAAAATTGATTCTTATCAATCTACCCCTCACAGTCAAGGAAAAAGGGCCATATTCACCACATATGGTCATCGCGTCAAAACAGCACGGATCTATTTCTGTTCCCTAACATAAAAATACTATAGTAAACTATAGTAAACTATAGTAAACTATAGTTAACTATAGTTTACTATAGTAAATCAAAGTTCCAAAGTTTTCACCATAGTAAATCAAAGTTCCAAAGTTTTTACTATAGTAAATCAAAGTTCCAAAGTTTTCACCATAGTAAATCAAAGTTCCAAAGTTTTTACTATAATAAATCAAAGTTCCAAAGTTTTCGCCATAGTAAATCAAAGTTCCAAAGTTTTCACCAAAGGAAATCAAAGTTCTAAAGTTTTCACCATAGTAAATCAAAGTTCCAAAGTTTTCACCATAGTTAATCAAAGTTCCAAAGTTTTTACTATGGTTAATCAAAGTTCCAAAGTTTTTACTATAGTAAATCAAAGTTCGAATGTTTTTTGTAATTACTTTAACAGCATACATGTATATATTTTTATTAAGTTTTAAAAAAAAATATTAAACTGTTTTAAGGGAGATTATATTGGGTTTGTTTAGGCTGATTTTTATTGTTCACCTTAACTGAAATATGAAAATTAATTAATTTAAATGCAATGTGTTTATTTGACATTAGAAGAAAACATGTTGAATGAAGTATATGAAGGAAATATTTTGATTCTAAACGACTCAACTTTTATCTTCTAGTAATTTTTTTCTCCACAAATAAAAATTACGTTCTATCTGCACAAATTAGAATTAAACAAATTTAAATAAATACTGCTTATTTATCGGTGCAAGAGACAATTTTTACATTAAAACCAGTTCTTGTACATTGTTCTATTTTGGGGACGATTTGGGCTTTTGAGAAAAAATTCTGAAGCTGTAATGAATCTTAACCTTGAAATTTATCAAATGTACAGAATGGGAAGCAAAACTATAATTCCATGGGCTTATAGTGCTTAATCAAAGTTCCAAAGTTTTTACTATAGTAAATCAAAGTTCCAAAGTTTTCGCCATAGTAAATCAAAGTTCCAAAGTTTTCGACATAGTAAATCAAAGTTCTAAAGTTTTCGTCATAGTAAATCAAAGTTCCAAAGTTTTTACTATAGTAAATCAAAGTTCCAAAGTTTTAGCCATAGTAAATCAAAGTTCCAAAGTTTTCACCATAGTAAATCAAAGTTCCAAAGTTTTCACTATAGTAAATCAAAGTTCCAAAGTTTTTACTATAGTAAATCAAAGTTCCAAAGTTATTACTTTGGTACTATAGTTCACTATAGTTAACTATAGTAAACTATAGTTTACTATAGTATTTTTTTGTTAGGGTTATCTAAAAAACAAACATCAGATTCATGAACAACCTGTTATGTTTCGATAAAGTACATATAATAATTATATCATTTATGATATCAAAAAATATACATATATAGTTGTGTCCTTGTGACATGACCCGGCGAGTTTTTCTTTGAAGTCAAGCATACTGTAACTGCGATACAGAACACTTTTTGTGGGCGTTTCTTATGCAAATAAGCAGAAACTGTGCTGTATCTGCAAAATATCAACGATACAGTATAATTCATCTTTAGCGATGACAGAAAGCTGTATCTGTATACAGACACAACAATCGTTCAATTCGCATGATAGAACTGGTAACATTTACTCAAAATTTGAGATGAATTAAGAGTAAAATTTTACAGCATTAATTTAATAGTGTCGGATTCAAAAATTTTAGAAATCAGGGAGTTTGGCAGTTCACAAATGATTACTTTGACCCCCCCCCCCCAAAAAAAAAAATCAGTTGAAAATCATTTTTCGTGAGGTTAGATTTATAACCAACCAAGACACTATGTACATGATATCGTAATCTAGTGTATATAAATTAAAAACCGTATAATGTACAAAAGTTTATCAAAAATCATTTACGAAAGTGAAAAAGAAAAAAAGAAGTGGGATGAGAGGCACCAGTGAGTGCTTGGATCCCCTCTGTTTACACTACATTTTATTAAAACATGTAGGTAAAGTAACCCCCCCCCCCTTCCTTTCATCTGTTTATTTAAATTTTGTCTATGACGACCTGAGGAGGACATTGTCGGACACTTCTCTCAGATTACGTTTTCCCCAAAGCATTTTTGTTTCAAAAATATTTTCACCTGATTCTTACGTACCTAGTATCAAAATGTATTGGATTCAATCGTAGCTTAAAGTTAAAAAAAATGTCAGCAAGAGCTGGATAGAGAAAAAAATCCTACGCAATGAAATCTAAATTTAATTTTTTGGAAAACAAATTATATTATGCATCCCCTAAATAATTATTTCAAATGATAAATACCCGCACGTCCACCTCACTCGGCATTTCAGTTGCAATGCTTAAAATGAGATACTAAATCAACTTTCTGCAAAATCATCTGACTGGTTGAGTGATATGTACCCAACTACGCATGTAAATATGTGAGGTCATTAAAAAGGTCATGTCACAAGTCATTTAAAATACTCGTTTCCTACTGTATCGGAGATACAGGGCGGGGCACGGCTGGAGCTATCGCTCTCGCCTCAAGCCCCGCCCTGTATCTCCGATGCAGTAGGAAACTCGTACTTTTAATATAACATAGTAGTTTTGTATCCATTCACATCAAGAAAAGATATTTATAACAATTTCTAATTCTAAAAAAATTCTTTTTTAAAAAAACATTTTGATTGGCTTATGCACTGATGTTTGAAGCAGTAAAGTGAGCATCAAAGAAAGTAAAGGCTTTTCATAATAGAGGGACGCAAAAACACAAGGCTCATGACTTATTCCATATGACAAGATTCAGCAAATTAAGACGTAAAACAACAAGAAAAATGCATAAATTGCATAAGCATTGTAAAAAGTATGTTATCATTTGATATTTGCGACAATTAATGCAAACATCCGTTTTACCTTTGTAACGTTGAGTTATGACCCGGATTGGAAATTGACCTGGGGGTCATTTTTCAATTGCAACGTTGAATACTGAGACCAAAGGCGTTGAATTTAGACCCTAGTCCGTTTATAACTGAGCCGGGTCATAGAATTTTGATCATTAAACCGGTTCTAAATTCAACAGCATAAAAACACATATTTATGACTTGGTTTTCACAACTGTGATTTAATCAATAGGCGTCAGGAACCGGGGGGGGGGGCTAGGGATGCTTAGCCCCCCTACTTTTTTGCAAAGATAGACATAATATAGGCATTGAACACAGTGAAATTGGTTTAAGCCCCCCCCCCCCCCTATTTTTTTCAACAGACACGTTACAGTGTATTCAAAGAAAGAAGAGTAATTGGTGTTACTTGAAAAAAAAATTGGATCCTGACCCCATCCCGCAATGATTTCTTCTTATCTTTTCCAAAATAAACTTTTCTTGTTTGTAAAGTAATATTCCGCTACCACCTGTTTAAAATATGGAGGGTAAAACGTTGCATTAATATACTTTTTTGTTTTTCTTATTCAAAAATTGTCTTTATTATTATTATTATTTTTTTAATTTGAATTTCACAATGCTATATAGTAGAAACATATAATATGAACACAATATTTCATTGCAGCATTCATTTTTTGAGAGGGAGAGAGAGAAAGAGAGGGAATGCAAGAGATGATGTCATAAAAGAAAGTCGGTGATAGATAGAGTAGGTAGCAAAACTATTTTTGAGACAGGGTTTATTGATATTAGTCTGAGAGTATGGATTGCCAATTTTGCCAGGAGGCGTTAAACTCATCTATTTTATCACTTTCTCTGGCTGTATATTTCAATATTTTCTAAATAATTTTGAATTCGTTCAGAAAACCATGGGTAGAGAGGCTAAGGTGTTGACAACGAACTCTGTAAACATATTGCTTCATTGACATAAGCAAAATATTATATGATTTTGATGATATTGTTTTACTTATATCTCCAAATATAAAACTTTTACCATCTAGATTTAATACAATGTCTTTTCGATGACAATGTCTAACAAAACCATCTAGAAATTGTTTTACAACGAGACATTGTCTTTATTTTTCCTAAATCATGTCATTGTTCGATAAAATATGATTCCTATTCGATTAATTGTTATTGTTGTGCGAAAAAATATTATATTTCTGTTCGAGAATCATCACCTTTAAGTTCCTATTCTATTCGAAAATATGTGATTCCTATTCGATAATTTTGTCATTTCTATTCGATAATAAAATGATTTCGATAATCATGTTAAACCTGTCATTCCTATTTAATTGAGTTTACATCCAATTTTAGTTTTGTCATATGTCCCAGAATGCAATAACTTAAAAAGACTAAGAAAAACATCGCATAGGAAAGATCAAATTATGCAACAAGATAAAACGTTTATCAATTAGGAATCGTATTTTTTTTTCGAATAAAAATAAATGCCAGTATGTTTTCGAACAACTTTATTACCTATAAACCAAAAACACAAAAGAAAGATGAAATTATCGAATCGGATTAAAAAATTTAGCGTATAGGAATCGCATGTTTTCCAATATGAATGGCATCGGATAGGAAACGCGTGTTTTGGAAAAGAATGATATACTATGATATAATAAGTATATTGTCATATTTTCTCCAATTGGAATAACAATTCATCGACTATAAGTTACAAATAATCGAATAGGAATAACAACTAATCAAATAGGAATCACACTGTATCGAATGAGAATATGTTTAAGAATAAGGATAATCTCATTCTCAAGATTTTGCTCCAAAAACGATCATTTTTTAAGCCGAGGCAGGCTACTGACAGATAAGTTTGTTACAAGGATTTCACCAACCTTGTTTACGGACAGCATTACTTATGGTCGCTATATTGATTTTTTTTCACAAATATAACCTATCATTGGATTCATTCTGGCCGATGTGTTTCATTTTAATTTTTAGGCTATTAATTTTTATAATTTTATACTGATTCTGACTAGATGGGATGTTCTGCCCACCTGATCAATATATATACATGGCTCACTTTCTAGATACCAGATTTCCAGGATTTTTGTTTTATGCCCTATTCATAGTTTTGTAATTAGTTATGGATGCTACATAATGGATTTTGGAAAGTATTGTCAAAACCTAAAGTTGTCATGCTTGAAGATAACTGAAATAATGTACTGATCAAAATGTAGATATATACGCGCGATGATAGGTTTATTTATATTATTCTTGAAAAGGGAAAACATTGAAACCGAAATATGAATATGGAAATACTATTAAATCCCGTAAAACAACTTCCCAGTTCAAGAAATGTTCAAACTCTGGAGTAGGTCAATATTCAACAGGGTCAATTTTCAACTTGTTGATGTCATCTTGGATAAGAAAAAGAATTATCAAGTTGTTGAAAAATAACCCCGGGTATAATTTCAAGGACTTTTGGTCTCAAATTTCAACGAAGAAAAATCACCCCCGATTCAATATTCAACGTTGAAAAATGAACCCTGGATCAATTTTCAACTCGGGTCAATATTCAATATTTTTATTCAACGGAAAAATCAGTTTGCGACCGTTAATGCAGCATTATCGGTTGAAATACCAAATTAAAGATAGTTATTCCCTAATGCAATATCCTTTACTGAATGCAAGCCGGCAATCATTATCATACATTTAAACACGAATCAATTTTAATGAATCTTGCATGAATATAAAATAATGATTTTAGATAAATATCTGTATAATAAAATCAAAGATAATAAAATTGCTTCAACTTTATTTCGACATGATCAAACAAAGTTAAGAAAATCTTTTTAAAAAGTTCTATTACAAGAAATGGAAAAAAAGTTGCTGTCTTATGTGCTTGTCTATCAAGGATTGCCTGCATATATCTTACCTTCACGAAATCATCAGTGCAGGAGAAGGTGAAACGATGTTGAAAAATATTCATAAAGTCAAATAAAAATACAGCGGTAGCGTTGACGTGTCCAGTATTCAGAATCCACGTGTAGTTGACGTTGTTTGGATAGTTACCAGGGAAACCAGGAGAGGTCAAACTTCCCCTGATACCTGTTATATTCTTTGATACGATCACTTCATTATATCCACAACCTTCAATTTTAAATTTGATGATTTAACTAACATTTCTTATTATTCACTGGTAAAACGTTTACTTTCTAATATTATTTAAACAAAAATGATATGATTAGGACATTAACTTACTAATTTGAAACACTAACATATACAAGAAGAAAAGCCAGTCCATTTTATATTTGAGTAATTTCTAAATGTATATGAACATGGTACATGCATGTCAATTAATAATGATTAACATTCACAAAGTTGTACAAGGAAATTATAAAAGTGAAATTTTTTTCACAATTTCACAACAAAGTATTTATTTATAAAGTTATATCAAACAACAAAAAATCGGATTAATTGAATTCAAGCGGATGTAAATTAAAACAATCCTACATTATTCTTAATCATAGCTGTTGACGTGTATGATCATTTTTTTTTAATTTGATAACATATGAACTTAATGACTAATTGCACAAATTTATAAAGAATTTATTTTGATATTGTTTGTTTCTCAGCATTCTTAGAAATTAAAATCTGTGTTTGGCTATATTTCCAAATATGGATCACTTATTTGACTTGCCTATATTTTAGTTCTTCATTTTTAGCCGTTTTATGTGATATAACTTTTAATAATTTTGATGGGATTGACACATTTTTTTTTTTGTATTTGAATAATTTCATTTCACTTGTATCAAGCAATTGAAATTGAATCATTCAGAGGAACTTATAATATTTTGTATAAAATAACTTGTCTACGTCACAATGAGTTACGTCAAAAACGTATTACTCCGCTTGACGTTACTTTTGAAATAATTCTCAATTTGAAGCCTTTTTCCGGATGAAATATTGTCACGTTGTCTACTCTGAAATTAAATTATAAGGAATGAAGCTAATTTCAACTTATATTATCCGATATAACAAAACTTGGGGCAGTTTACGCTTTCTTATAAACCGCTTCGCGGTTTATAAAGCGTTAACCGCCCCAAGTTATGTTATATGGGATAACATAAGTTGAAATAAGCTTCATTCCTTAAATACATAAATTTCTTTTCACAAAAATGATATTCAACTTCATTTCTTTTAATAACTTCTGGATATCTGAATTTTAGAGACACATAAAAGAAAAATGAAACATGTGTTGGTAATGTCAAAGAGCTAAAAATAATTGCATCCAATAACCTTACTTTTAACGTGAATTAACTTTAAATAAAAGTATTAATATACAAATATGGACTCAATGTAGGTCAATATGCATTTATAATGAACCAGGATGACAGATAATGACCGAAGATACATGTAGTATATCGACCGAGGGCGCTAGCCCGAGGTCGATATACTTCATGTATCTGAGGTCAATATCTGTCTTCCTGGGTCATTATAAATGCATATTGACCGTGCATTGAGTCCATATTTATTATATTATATAAATAATAATTTCCAAATTTTTTTAGTACAATGTATATCTTCCTTTAAGTTATGTTTACAGAGATAGTATTAACCATAAATAAGTTGAATGTAAATGTTTCAGAATTCATTGAATATCACTCAGAGGAAATTGTTTCGGTAATAAATCTTAACCCATATCATAATAATAACGCAATATATCTATCTCCGAATAACACAGAATACCCCCTCCCCCAGATTTAGAATCGCACTCGTTTACACTTGCAGAGGAAATGCACTCACAAAATATAAATACCTATGTCTTCTAAGATAAGATACAATCTTACATGTCTTTATTTTCTTTAGTCTCCGTAATCGCGTAAACAGCGTCAAAACTCTGCTCGCCGAGTGAGTGGAAAAATGATTAAGGAATCACTGTCTTGTTTTGAGAGTATGCCAGGGCATCAACAATAGTGGGAAACATGGGATGATTTGCATAACGGGCGAAGCCCGTTATGCTAAAATTATCCCATGTTTCCCACTATTGTTGATGTCCCTGGCATACTCTCAAAACTAGACAGTGATTCCTTATATTTCCATTTCATTCTGAAATAAAATTGTAGATTTAGACTTTAAAAATGTAGACATACACTTAAATCAAACGAGGACTTCCATGCTAATTTCAATAGTCCTCGTCAACTGACGTCAAACACAAAGGCAGCCGCACGAGATTTACATGCACATTTGGCCTCCTTAGCGTCAGTCACAGAGACAGATGCGCACGAGATTTGCATGCGTTTTAGGCCTCCTTAGCTCCTGACCTATCGACCTGCCTAATTTACATTCCGGCAGAATTATCAAGAAATAAACTCCGACAACTTTCAAAGAGTTATCACAGAGAAAAAAATTAGAAATGGAAATATAAGGGTATCACCGTATGTGCTAAGTATTCCTGAAATATTTTGACAGATATGCTTGTAATTGTTTTGTATTATCAGCCTCAGAGTTCTTCACTATGTCTTTTAAATTTTTCTTACCTACAACTTGCGAACTTCCATGTTTGTCTAAAGCGAAAGTGAAAACGAGGCAGCTCGTACGAGTCATTATTCGCTTTCAGCGGTCGTTATTAAAAAATAAGTACTTCGTATTGACCAATCAGATTATCGGATTTCACAAAGTTATGTAATATTAAGTTATATGAAATAATGTGAAGAAGTAAATAGAAGGGGATTAAACTATTAATGTCTTTCTACGGTCTCATATCTGATTAAACCGACCGAAGAATGTCCATAATCATTGATTATCTAAATAAGGAAAACTTATCATGAAACCTGTTATGTTATAATGAGTCTTCTGAAGACAATCATACACTAGACAAGTAACTTTTATCAGCCAACATAATCAGAGGATTGACAACGAATAACAGTGCACAGAACCGCCGTAAAAATTAACAAAACACTGACAAAAAACTCTATGAACAGTGCTTGATTAAAAAAATAATAAAGTGGTTTATTTAAAAAATGGATTTCAAATTAAAAAAAAAATATTTTGCTCAAAACCCGTCTTTCAATTCCCCGTGATAAGTAGGGGAAACAGGTCTTATGTACGTATATGTTGTACTTTACATCAATCTATACACCCAAAAGTTGCTGGCTAACAAAAGAGGCAATGTAGCGGTTATGCAATTGCTTTTACATGTAGCGGCAATGACGATAACGATATAGCGGTAATGAAAATGTTTCGGTAATGATACGCACAGATTTTAATAATAAAATTTATTTGTTATTTACATTTCAGTTTATTTTGTTCAGGACAGAAATAACTTTCCGAAAACATGATGTTTTCATATTTACCCAACTTGAACTTTAAATATTTATCCTTGATGTCTTTTTTATTGAAAAAAATATTACATGTAAATATATTTCATGTTTTAAAGGTACTTGGACACAGATTTGAAGTTAATATTTTCTCTATAATATATATCACGAATTATATATTTTAATACCATTTCACACAAAAATTGATTAAAAATATTATTTCATTTAAAAATTATTTGAACTTTAAATTTTTTGGCGGGTTTGATTGACACATCCTTGCACTTTTACAAATTTTAACTTTATTCTTAATCCTTAGGAAAAGTGGCAATTCTGATGTGTATTAATGAGAAAAATTAAAACTTAAATTAAGAAGAATAATTTTATTCAGCGTACAAATGTTAGAAAGCAGAACTACTTCACAAGTATCGTCATTCCGCTATGTACAGAGTTTTGCGAATCGATCACACTCGTGTTATGTAAGGTTTTTGTAAACATGTTATTGTTTGGTGTTTACGATTCACCGGGTGCGTTAAATCGCCAAAGTCTGTTCACCACATCTGCACGGACTGACAATATATTGTGCGTTTGTTTTGCTTTAGAACATGTCTACTCTGAATTTTCTGGATTATAGTATTAATATTTTTCATTAAATACACATCAGGATTGCCACTTTTCCTATGGATTAAGAATAAAGTTAAAATTTGTGAAGGTGCAAGGATGTGTCAATCAAATCCGCCAAAAATATAAAGTTTTAATAATTTTTAAATGAAATAAGACTTTTAATTAATTTTTGTGTGAAATGCTATTAAAATATGTAAGTCGTAATATTATAGAGAAAATATTAACCTCTAATCTGTGTTCCAAGTACCTTTAATACTATAATCCAGAAAATTCAGAGTAGACATGTTCGAAAGCAAAACAAACACATAATATATTGTCAGTCTGTGCAGTTGTGGTCGGCAGACTTTAGCGATTCAACGCAACAGGTGAATCGTAAACACCAAACAAATAACAGGCTTTTGCCATGATTACAAAAACTGTATACATGACACGAGTGTGCTCGATTTGCTAAACCCTGTAAACAACGGAATGACGATATTTGTGAAGGAGATTTGCTTTCTAACAATTCTACTCTGAATAAAATTATTTTTCTGGATTTAAGTTTAAATGTTTCTCATTAATACACAACAAGATTGTTACTTTTCCTAAAGATTAAGAAAAAAGTTAAAATTTGTGAAAGTGAAAGATGTGTCAATCAAACCCGCCATAAAATTAAAAGTTTTAATAACTTTCAATGATATAAGATTTTTTATTAAGTTTTATGTAAAATGCTATTAAAATATATAATTCGTGATATTAAACAAATAAAAATAACCTCAAATATGTGTCCAAGTACCTTAAAGGTTATACCTGATTACAAATGGCACTGAAAATCGAAATCTTTAAACATGATTCCTGTGCATTGCTTTTGTTGCACTGGAAGGGAAATCTCCCCAGCGCTTTTCAAAAGTTTTCTCGATTTTCACTTCTCGTATGTTGGTCTTATATCTAGTTCTCGCAAGGAAAGCTGGTCGGACTTTTACGGATTTTCTTCATATTTTATTATGTTAATCTCCGAATTGTTCCAATTTACGCTAATAAGGTAAGAAGTTATGTATGTGTGCTACGTGATCATTCAATACCTTGTCAGCTTGTAAAACAAGCAACATGCATACATTATATTAAACAGTTATATAAGACCTTTCCCTACTATGATGTTTTAGATGTCCGGTTTGCTCTGCTCTTGGTTTTATTTTGTGAATAAATCTTTGAGATTGAATACAATTCGTATTATCCTTATCAGCAAAAGATACGTTAAGATGT